TTTCTGATACTGTTGGCTCAGAGGTAGGACATGCATGCTTTAAAAAAAAAGTTTTTGAACATGAAAATACTTCCAATTCTAGAAATAAAATTACCATTGCAGGAAGGTTCTGTGGGAAAAGAGCATGGAGACTTTCAGTTATTAGTTCATGGAGACCTTGGCACCACACCTTCTGACTCCAAAGGGCATATTGACCTAGTACTGAAATTAGTGTGTCTTGAGGCCTGTGTTCTGGAAACTCTGAAAACCCTGTTCACCTTATTCCTCTAATAAAACTTTTCACATAAATGAATTTGCAAAGTAATTTGTTGTTCACCAAAAGATGTCCTCCTGGAATTTGGGTGTCATCAAAGCAAATTGCCAGGACCCCCCAAAACAAGATAGAGAGCATCTGGGAAAGGGACATCTGTGCCCCATTGCTATCCTTCATCCTACTAGTGTGGCTTGAAACAAGGAAGGTGACTTGAGACCTTGTATTGTCTAAAACAGAGATGTTACATTGAAGAGCTCCCAGTATGAGAAGTCTTGCTCCGTTTGCCTCCCTCTTCAAGTTGTCTTTCTAGAAGTCTCAAGGACAAATTAGACCTGACTTCAGATCAGTCATCATGAATCTATATCAGGAAAAGGCTCAGCTTACCCAGCGTCCATCTTGGCCTTGAGGCCCAGGCTGGAATGGGAATGTTCTGCCATCTTGGGAGGGCCACTGGTCCCACTAGTAAAGTAGATGGCGGCTGGTTCATGACTTCCAGTTTCCACACAGTGATGAGTGGTAGATACATCCCTACAAGGACCAGAAAGTCAATGTCTCAGATCTAGCCTAGATAATGATGGTTTGTGATTCGTCTTCCCTCAATAGCCCTCGAAGTGACAAGGGTAAGTCAGATGACCTGTCTCTGAAGGGAAGGTCTTGAGTGGCAAACTTCATGCATTCTTGAGTGAGTCAGGATTAGCATTTTGTTAACTATGTAAATTTGTACTCGTTACTGTTACTTAAATTCTGTGAGTCTCACTTTCCATATCTGTGAAATGAGGGCAACATAACCTTATCTCAGAGAGTTCAGTGAGAAAGTTAACTCTACAACAAAGAAGGAGTGAACATACTTAGCCAGGACTGAACATTAATTCAGTTGTGGTTGGCCCCAGCATTATAGCAAGAGCACAGAAGGAGAGCAGTTAGTTTTCCAAGTGATCAAAAATAATTATTGATTTTTTTATGTGTATGAGTGTTTTGTCTGCATGTATGTATATGCACAGCATACGTATGTTTCCTGTGGAGGTCAGACAAGGGCACTGGATCTCCTGGAACTAGAGTTATTGACAGTTGTAAGTTGCCATGTAGATGCTGGGAATCAAACCCAGGTCCTCTGGAAGAGCAGCCACTCTCTCCAGCACCCCACGTGGTTTCTTGATACCCACTTTTATTCTCTGAAATACCCCATAAGTCTCTAAGTACCTTGAATCTGAATCTCTCAAAGCTGGCATTTTATTGTTTATTTTTATGAAAATTATTTTAAAGATCATGACAATAGAAAGGAAAAAAAATCCTTACATTCTCGCTAGATGTTTCCTAAGGCACATGTTTCTAAATGGAAGGATTTTAGACCTGTGGCAAGAATCCCACTTATCTGGCCAGTCTTGCTATGAAATTCTGGAAGGACTACTATTCTGGAAAGAATATCCTACAGATATAGAATAAGGGAAGAAGAGTCTGGAAATCAGTGCACTAGGCATCTCTAAGATGTTGCCTAGCATTTCATCTATGGCTTTTGAGAATAGTTCTGGATGCCTTTCAGCCCCATTCAGATCAGTAGCATGTTGTTCTAGTGTGTGCAAGTGATTGATCTTAATGTCAAGGTGTGTGTGTGTGTGTGTGTGTGTGTGTGTGTGTGTGTGTATGTATGTAATCACTTATATGTGCTTATATAATGTGTCTGTTGTTCTGTGTGTGTGTGTGTGTGTGTGTGTGTGTGTGTGTGTGTGTGTGTGTG